AGAATGTCTCCTCCGGTGAGGCTATAAAAAATTGTCTTTCTTCCACTCTCTTTATTTAAAACCAATACCCTGACGCTGACCTTTGCTCTGGCAGGTGAGAAGCCATACCGCTGTAATGTGTGCGGCGCCCAGTTCAACCGACCGGCCAACCTGAAGACTCACTCTCGCATTCACTCAGGAGAGAAGCCATATCGCTGTGACACCTGTGGAGCACGATTTGTTCAGGTGAGGGTTAACTCTGCATGTGGGCTAAGCGCCTGAGGGGATTTTAAAGTACACTTCCTCATAACACAGGGGCCAGTCATGCGAGTACACATTATTACATGTCCTCTTGTTCTCATAAAAAAGTCCCGTAGGTGCCTGTGTGACGTAATAAATGTCAGACCCGGGGTTTAACCCTACTGTCCGGGTTTAGGCTGATAACAATCTTTAAATGCAAATCTTGTCTTGTCTGGTTCTTCAACTGGTTTGTTCAGTTCCTCATACTTCTGTTTGTTCTGGTGTTAGGTTGCCCATCTGAGGGCCCACGTTCTGATCCATACAGGGGAGAAGCCGTACCCCTGCCACACCTGTGGCACCCGCTTCCGCCACCTGCAGACCCTGAAGAGCCATCTGCGCATTCACACTGGAGAGAAGCCATACACTGTGAGTCAGCAATACACACACACGTGTCATACAACAAAAGCACAGCATGTAACACTCAGAAAGTCACAGAATATCCTTATTATCGCCCCATTGTTTGATCGGTTGACTTATTGTGTTTCAGTGTGAGAAGTGTGACCTTCACTTCCGCCACAAGAGTCAACTTCGTCTTCACCTGCGGCAGAAACATGGGGCCGTTACCAACACCAAGATCCGCTACAAGGTCCTGACCGAGTCCTACCAGCCTATTTTGCAGGCCTGCTGAAGACTAGATAGATGACCAGCTTGGACATCAAGTAAAAAGTTAAAATGGATCTCATTTGGAGAAAGAGATGGACGTTAACAAAAAGCTTTTAGCATCAACATGTCGGATGAGTTTTGCAGCTTGGAGCTAACATAACACATTATTATTAGTTTGAATCTCTAAGGTTCATTAGAAATCCTGGGTGGCTTTTCTGAGATGGAGATGATGGTAAGAAAAGTGTTTTTGAAGGTTTGTGAAGGGACAGAAGGAAGGGAACGAGACATGGAAAGAAAGGTAAAATGTTTTGGGATGTGTGTACACTGAATTTTGAAGGAGTATGAGTATGAGTACGTGAAGGAAAGATAAAGCAAGTTTTATGAAGGAGAGGTAGTGAATTTTGGAGTAAATTAAATTCTGACTGGAGAAGCACTTAATCAATGTTAAGTCACTGAAATATTTTTTTTAAATGTGCATTTAGCTCAGATTTATCTTAACCTTGAGGCCTGGGGCCTGCATGTTCTTTCAAAGTATGCAGCGATATCTGATTTTAAAGTCCCAGCAGGCAAAGGACTTAGTTGTCTTGTACTGAGTATAAAGTATTAAAATTAAATGATGTTTGGTTTTCTGACATGAGCAATTTAAATTAGAAGACTGTAAGAAATTGGATAATTATTAATAATATTGCATTTGTATGTATGTTCATTTGCTGGACAAAGATGTTTTTGTACAATTAAATTAAATCATTTTTATATCAATTGGAGCTTTGGTGTTTCAGCATCTCATTTCATATCACACTCTGACATGTAATGTTGTGTATGCTGTACAAACAAATGGTGAAACGACTTTTCTAAAACTTATTACAAATATGAAAATGGTCACAAAGTGCTGACTAGACTGCACATATTTGCAGAGCCTGTAAACCCTTCTCTCCCTCTGCCTTCCGCCTTCCTCCTCCCTAGACTTCCTTCCTCTCATTAATGCACTTTTTCTACCCATGAATCACGTCTTCTCTTAAGTCCAGTCTGTCCCGCCGTTTTCCAGATTTTGCTTTGTTTTTTCTTGGCGCTTTTGTGGAAACAATGAAGCCAAGGGCACCTGTTTCCTCCAGGCTCCTAATGCTGGGTACTCACACTACCAGCCAGTCAACACGTGTGTGAGCTCGCTGGTGCTTCCTGAAGGTGAGGGGGTCGACTGTGGAGGGGCTGCAGACTCCTGCTGAACTCTCCCACCCTCTGTCATCCTCTGCTTCCTGCGCCCTGATGAGTTGTGGCTAGCTGCACTTATTGTCCTGTTCAGCAGACAAACGTTGGAAGTTCGACGGGACTTTCCAAACTTTGGCCCCCCTGCTTCACTGAAAAAATTAAACCTATGACATGTAGTTTTTCCCATTCATCAACTTGGGGCCAATGGCACCTTGTGAGGGGACTTTGTCAGAAAAATTGACTTCTGTGTGGACCACATATCAAGAAGTAAGTATTCCTAAAACCCTTTAGTGATTTTATTGAACAACAACAAGTAACCAAACTGGCAACCCGTATGCACGCTGTGGACATGTTAAAGTGTGTGTGTGGAGAATTCCTGTCAGAGGCAGGACATAGAGAAAGAGGTACTGTTTAGTAAGTATCAGCGTGCATCAGATTTGTGAGTGGAATCAATAAAATTTGTTTGTTGTAACCTATAGCCTACAATTAAATCTCCTCCCAAAATGTAAAAGAAGATTTCAAGCACAAGAATCAGGGATGTGGGGATAAATTTTGCTATTGGAGAGCTGATACTAGCAGATACTTTATACAGTATTTTGTAAGTAAATGTAAGTATACTTTAAACTGACATAAACAAGGGGATATAAGACTGTGACACAGGAACTCTCCCCCAAGATTAGGTATAAAAACCTGTCCATTATTATTTGACTTCATATGCTTTATATGCTTCAGTTGTAATCCATCGCACATTAGCTCAAGATTTGTGTGTCCGGCTGTGGAAATTGGGATTCAGTTATATAGACCAATAGTTGTATAGTATGTCTCTCTGTGTTTTGTGTGTGTATGTGGTGCTGTTGTCTCTCTCCTTGCTTCCTGCTGATCACTCACAGCTGCTACTCATCAAGACCATCAGTGGCAGCATATAAAACCCTGTAAAGTTTTACCTAATAAAGTGGTCACGGGTTGTACAGCACCACTTATACACAATTACATTTCCACCAACACATCTCAAATTACATCCTGTAACAATAAACATATACAAAAATCACCCTTTTCTGGGTTGTTTGTCTGCAGTTGGCATTTTTTAATGCCTCCCTCTAGTGTTGAAAGTCAGTAGATCCAGAATTGTGTCATTTCTGTGGTGGAAAGTAACTACATCCATCAAGTACTTTACTAACTTGGACTTGAGTATTTCAGTTTTATATTACTTTACATTTTTACTTTAAAACATTTTAGATGCAAATATGGTTTATTGTAACTTCCATTTATCTGATAGCAGTATAGGTTGTTATAGGTTTAACAGCCCAACTTTAAATTGAGAAGTTGGCTCAAAAACTGGATTTGTCTTGACCTTCTTCAGTAATGATATCATATGATATACACAATAATATAACAAAATGAAAGGGCACATTCTGCATAATCAGTACTTTTACTTTAATACTTCAATACTTTTGTTTGAGGTAAAATCTAAATACAGAACTTTCACTTGTAATGGAGTATTTCTATGTCTTCTTTATCATTTTCATTGGATAATAGTATTTTATTTTCTTGTTTTTTCACAATAAAAAGTCAAAGGACCCGTTTGATGTTTATTGAGGTGTGCACTGAAGTGTTGGAGGAAGTGTAACTGTGTAGGCCTCAGTCAAGATGGACTCTGTTTCCCAAATGTCAGACTGTTGCATTGTTGTATTGTGAAGATGAAACTTTCATACTATCATCTGGTTACTGCTGTTTACATTCACCCCATGCAAATTCAAAAAATGCAGCCTTGTGCTGTATAATGACAAATAAACAACCTTGTACCTTGTAAAATAATTACATTTTATTGAAATAAATAGCCTACAAAGAGAGCATATCAAGAGAAATATCAAATTCAAAGTAGCTTTATTGGCATGAATGTACAGCAACAATATTGCCAAAGCTACATATAAATGACATAAGGACAATTAATTTCATACATTTCATGAAATAAGGATATAAAACAGTAAAAGTTGTGTTTGTGCGTTAATACAAAAGAAAATAATAATAATAATAATAAAAAATATATAAAATATAAAAATTCCGTAAAAAAAAATTAAAGATAAAAGTAAAGAAATAAATCAGTAAGCGTGTGTGTGTGTAAAAAAAAATGAAAATATTTTAAGAAATAAAATAAAATAAGTAAATGACACAGTAACGTGTGTGTGTTATTAAAATAATGTATTAAAAAAATTCAAATAAAATAAATAGATGAAACCGTAAACGTGTGTGAGTGTATATTAATAGGCAAAAACAAAAATGAATTAATTAGTAACAAAAAATAAGTATCAAATGTGAGATTCAAAAACACAAAATATCAAACCATCAAAATAATAATAATGTGAAAATTAGTACAATTATTTATGGGTTTCCACTGGTTGTCCTCAGTTCATGGCATGAGGAGATATTTTGCAGCAAATATTTGACATTTTGGGCATTTCTCCCAGTAAATAGGGGAGTTTCTGTGTGTCTGATAGAAATTCGAATTCGGGTGATATTTGGGAAAAATATACCCCTAACATAGGCTGTAGGCTGTGTGTCTGATCAATGTCAGAAAGTGACTAAATGTCCATCACACAGTCTCACAGCCCAAGACGACATCTGCCAATTCTTTCATGTCTTTCAAGGTATTCACTCGTTTGCTGACTTACAACAAAGAAAATGATCAAATGTTTGGCATTTGTAATGTCTGAAACGGTTCATCATTAGCCTATCAAAACAGTTGGCAATTATTTTTCGGACTATAGTCTACAAGACAGTTAATGACTATTAAATAACCGTCAAATCATGAATTCAAAATAAATTATTTATTGTAATACAGCAGTGAATTTTCGGTGGTCGTCATGGTGATGAGGACTGACGCGTTGCGCGGGCCCTATAAAGGCGGAGGTCAAAGTTCGAACTTCTTTCTGCACCTGAACGCTGACAGGAGCTGCTGACCTTTGACAAGTGAAACTCTTCACCTGTGGAAAAAGTGCTAACTTGTTGAAAGGTGACAGACATTAAAGAAAAGATCTCTGCTGAACATCTGGAAGTGAGAAAGCAGCTGTTGCAGTGAGGAAAAAAATGGTCTCCAGTGGTTTCTGCCGTGAGGAACAACTGCTGACTTTAGGCATCGTCCGTTTGCTGGATGACCGCTATGGTAAAACACATTAGACCACATCTATATCATGATTAAACACAACAAAATATACTACGTTAAATCATAAATTAATACAATATTTATCAATATAAATATAAGTTCTGTAATGTTGTTTGAAAATATTTGGCCAGAACAGCATTAAAATAGCCTACTAAACCTACATTAAACTTGTTATCTCGGCATTACAATAATTAATTAACACGATGGATTTTACTGAGAGAGCACGAGGCAGATGAAACAATTTATAGTGATTTATAAAACTTGCTAATTATTTTTAGGGGGTTGTCCAGGTTAATTTAAAGACAAAGATCGCGACCGCGCCATTTTTTAAAAAGCGCTAAAAGTTGTGTATGTTGCAGGCGCCATGGAAACGACATCAAATATTACAACTAGTCACAGGCAGACGTCTGACGTCAGTGTGGTCAACCTGTTGTTTGTTTATGATTCTGAGTCGGCATGTAAACACTGCAGATGCAGGTGTCCAGGGATGTTTGGTCCATAAGTTTATGGAAAAGTTAGCCTACAACCTTCAAGGAGTTTTTATTTTTACCAACTCATTGAATAATAAATACTCAGCTTTCCTTGTGCTCACTACATGATCAAAATATCATCTTTGGCACTTTGACGTCTTTGTAGTAATATACACACCTGTCCTGGAAAACCTGGAAAACATTTGACCAATTTTCCAGTAATGAAAAACACATGCAAAAGAGAACAAACAGTAAAATAATGTCCTGGGAAATCTTGTTTTGTCCTGGAAAACTATTTTAACATTATGTTGCAGCAGCATTCGACTCTGGATTTTTTTCTTAAGTCAAGAAACAAGTAGACTAACTTTTCTGGAAAAGTTTATTGTGGGAAAGATTTAAATCTCTACGCAGCACACCAGTCAACATGTGTGTTTTTAAATATGCTCGAGAAAATTTAAGCTGCTTACACTTTGATTAAATGAAGCTAACATAGTTTTCACTCACAGTGAAAGTTGCATTTTCATCTTTTCTGATTTTAATTTCATTAAATACAAGAATAGAAATGAAACAGACACCATATTTTACATGTTATTGTAAGAGAGACAGACTTCAGTCCATGTGAAGAACTGAAATTGCATTTCATTCAAATGTAACTTCCACCAAGTGTCATGATCTAACAGCAGGACCTTTGAAAAACTTTTTAATATTTAAAAGATGTTAGTTGGATCCAAAGTTGTTTAATGTTGTGTTGTACAGTCTTCACATTATTCATGCTGAGCTTGAACAACATAAATAATCATAGTCTTTATGATCTTCTGTGTAAAACGATGTGAACTTTAAGTCATAAATGCTATTTTGACTTCTTAATCTGGGCTTCAATTAGTCATCCTGACTAACGTGAGTGATGTTTTTCTTTTCTTTCCATTCAGCTGCTCTGCCTCGGCCAGGACGCGTTCTTCAGATGATCGTGACCAACCTGAGGAACCGTCCTCTGAGCAGCACAAGTGTCGCCTCCATGAGGGAGTCCATCCTGAGCATGTACCACCACCTCATCACAGGCTCCAAGGACTTCCCTTTGATTCCATTCAAGGGGTCCTTACGGACACGTCAGACGGCCACACCCTTCGTCCCCGTGGACCAGGAGGAGAGGGAGAACACCACACCCTCTTTAACGGACGAACCAGCTGGTATTTTGGTTCCCACTGCAGGCTTGAGCTCTTCAGCTCCTAATATACTGACTGCAGCTCATCCTGAGAGGACGGAGCTGGGGGCCCTGAGGGCCGACCCCAGGAACTGTGTCCGACGGATGGAGTTTGATGGCGAGACTGTGACCAGAGTCATCTCCACTGGGTCCCGCTTTGAAGGCACCGAGGTGACCAACCGCTGGAGAGTGAGTGACTACAGCGGAGACGGTCGCATTCTCATGTCCGTCCTCTGCCAGTTCACCAGAGAGTCCACGTATTGTGCACGGACTCTGAGGAAGAAGAGGAAGGGCACTGAGGAAGAGAGCAGCACTCGACCAAAGAAACGCCTGAGAGTGTGACTGACTTTTTATCGTCTTGCTGGCAGGGTGGCATGAAAGACCTTTAGTTTTTACTCCTCAGGGCTGGCCTTTGCTTTTGGCAGGGCTTGTCAGGCCCCTGGTAGCGTCTTGCACCGGGGCCCCTGCACCATATGAAACATGTGGTTGTCTGAGGGGTAAATATTGTATATATGTATATAGTTTGTTCATCATGGATGTAGCACACAGGCTCAGTGTTTTCAGTGCGTCTTGCACTGGTGCGTCTTGCACCTTTCTTTATTTCTTAGAGCTGGCCTGTGTGTCTGACGTGGTGAAACTACGGGGAACTCGGGGAGTTCACAGGTTGCCACTTGCCACGCTTGCAAGACACAAGTCTGCCCTGCAGCCGGGGACAGCAAAAGGACTTTAGATGAATTTCTTCCGAGTCTTCCGTTATGGATGAATGTGTTTTCTTGAGCGAGAAACACGTCCAGCTTTATTGTTGCCGACTCATCAACAGTTCAGATCAAGCTGCAGATTGCAGTGAGTGAGGAAAGAGACATTACAGCTGCAGGGACAGAGTCAAACCTACAACACTACTGACCCACCAATGACAGGCAGGACGAGCAGCAAGAACAGACTGACAGAAGAGGGAGAGGACAGAAACAGCTTGATCGAAAGAAGGAAGATATTAATTCCACCTGCACTTCTCTCCAAACCAACTGCAGCAACCAGCTGTGGACAAAGTAATAAACACAGAGCTGTTTGTGAAGGATGGAAACAAAAGAAGAAGACGAAAGGAGTGGAGACTCGCTGTGAACTCGCTCATTTAAAAAGGTAAATAAACATTTATTTATTATCAGAATTCCTACATTTATCAATAGATCTACTGTGTCCCTCATTGCTGAAGTTATTAACTGTTATTCTTCTTATCTGCCATTTGTCTTTTACAGAGAGGAGAGGAAACAAGGACGACACTAGTCCAGACCAAGATCCGACAAGAGAAGAGAGGAGACAGCATGAACTGTGAACTCGCTCATTTTAAAAGGTAAATGCACATTTATTTTATTTTCTCAGAATTCCTACTGTGATCAATAGTTCTCCTCCTTCAGCCTTATTGCTGAACTTATTAACTGTTATTCTTTTTTCTGCCATTTGTATTTTAGAGAGAGGAGAGGAAACGAGGACGAAGTCCAGACCAAGTCTAGACCAAGAGCCGACAAGAGAAGAGAGGAGACAGCCTGAACTGTGAACTCCATCCATCCATCGTCAACCGCTTATCCTGTGTACAGGGTCGTGGGGGCTGGAGCCAATCCCAGCTGACATCGGTGGCCAGTCCATCGCAGGAACTCGCTCATTTAAAAAGGTAAATACACATTTATTTTATTTTATCAGAATTCCTACTGTGATCAATAGTTCTCCTCCTTCAGCCTTATTGCTGAAGTTATTAACTCTTGTTCTTTTTTCTGCCATTTAACTTTTAGAGAGAGGAGAGGAAACGAGGACGAAGCAAGTCCAGACTGAGTCCAGACCAAGTCTAGACCAAGATCAGACAATGAGAAGAAAGGAGACAGCTTGAACTGTGAACTCGCTCACTGAAAAGGTAAATACACATTTATTTGATGTTATTATCAGAATTCCTGCTGTGATCAATAGTTCGTTTTTGCTTGTGTAGGGCTCCGCAGTCAAGTTAGCATTAATAATATGCAACTTCCAGTTAGACTAATGGTTTACCTCAGTTGAAGTCTCTTATCTGCCATTTGACTTATAGAGAGAGAAGAGGAAACAAGGACAACACTAGTCCAGATCAGGTCCAGACCAAGATCCGACAAGAGAAGAGAGGAGACAGCCTGAACTGTGAACTCGCTCACTGAAAAGGTAAATAAACATTTATTTATTATCAGAATTCCTACATTTATCAATAGATCTACTGTGTCCCTCATTGCTGAAGTTATTAACTGTTATTCTTCTTATCTGCCATTTGTCTTTTACAGAGAGGAGAGGAAACAAGGACGACACTAGTCCAGATCAAGATCCGACAAGAGAAGAGAGGAGACAGCATGAACTGTGAACTCGCTCATTTTAAAAGGTAAATGCACATTTATTTGATTTTATCAGAATTCCTACTGTGATCAATAGTTCTCCTCCTTCAGCCTTATTGCTGAACTTATTAACTGTTATTCTTTTTTCTGCCATTTGTATTTTAGAGAGAGGAGAGGAAACGAGGACGAAGCAAGTCCAGACTGAGTCCAGACCAAGTCTAGACCAAGATCAGACAATGAGAAGAAAGGAGACAGCCTGAACTGTGAACTCGCTCACTGAAAAGGTAAATACACATTTATTTGATTTTATCAAGTTAGCATTAATAATATGCAACTTCCAGTTAGACTAGTGGTTTACCTCAGTTGAAGTCTCTTATCTGCCATTTGTCTTTTACAGAGAGGAGAGGAGACGAGGACAACACTAGTCCAGACTGAGTCCAGACCAAGTTCCGACAAGAGAAAAGAGGAGACAGCCTGAACTGTGAACTCGCTCACTGAAAAGGTAAATACACATTTATTTGATTTTATCAAGTTAGCATTAATAATATGCAACTTCCAGTTAGACTAGTGGTTTACCTCAGTTGAAGTCTCTTATCTGCCATTTGTCTTTTACAGAGAGGAGAGGAGACGAGGACAACACTAGTCCAGACTGAGTCCAGACCAAGATCGACAAGAGAAGAGAGGAGACAGCCTGAACTGTGAACTCCATCCATCCATCGTCAACCGCTTATCCTGTGTACAGGGTCGCGGGGGCTGGGGCCAATCCCAGCTGACATCGAGCGAAAGGCGGGCACACCCTGAATAGGTCGCCAGTCCATCGCAGGAACTCGCTCATTTTAAAAGGTAAATGCACATTTATTTTATTTTATCAGAATTCCTACTGTGATCAATAGTTCTCCTCCTTCAGCCTTATTGCTGAAGTTATTAACTGTTATTCTTTTTTCTGCCATTTGTATTTTAGAGAGAGGAGAGGAAACGAGGACGAAGTCCAGACCAAGTCTAGACCAAGAGCCGACAAGAGAAGAGAGGAGACAGCCTGAACTGTAAACTCGCTCACTGAAAAGGTAAATAAACATTTATTTATTATCAGAATTCCTACATTTATCAATAGATCTACTGTGTCCCTCATTGCTGAAGTTATTAACTGTTATTCTTCTTATCTGCCATTTGTCTTTTACAGAGAGGAGAGGAAACAAGGACGACACTAGTTCAGATCAAGTCAAGACCAAGAGCCGACAAGAGAAGAGAGGAGACAGCCTGAACTGTGAACTCCATCCATCCATCCATCGTCAACCGCTTATCCTGTGTACAGGGTCGCGGGGGCTGGAGCCAATCCCAGCTGACATCGGGCGAAAGGCGGGCACACCCTGAACAGGTCGCCAGTCCATCGCAGGAACTCGCTCATTTTAAAAGGTAAATGCACATTTATTTGATTTTATCAGAATTCCTACTGTGATCATTAGTTCTCCTCCTTCAGCCTTATTGCTGAAGTTATTAACTGTTATTCTTTTTTCTGCCATTTGTATTTTAGAGAGAGGAGAGGAAACGAGGACGAAGTCCAGACCAAGTCTAGACCAAGATCCGACAAGAGAAGAGAGGAGACAGCCTGAACTGTGAACTCGCTCACTGAAAAGGTAAATAAACATTTATTTATTATCAGAATTCCTACATTTATCAATAGATCTACTGTGTCCCTCATTGCTGAAGTTATTAACTGTTATTCTTTTTTCTGCCATTTGTCTTTTACAGAGAGGAGAGGAAACAAGGACAACACTAGTCCAGATCAAGTCAAGACCAAGAGCCGACAAGAGAAGAGAGGAGACAGCCTGAACTGTGAACTCCATCCATCCATCGTCAACCGCTTATCCTGTGTACAGGGTCGTGGGGGCTGGAGCCAATCCCAGCTGACATCGGTGGCCAGTCCATCGCAGGAACTCGCTCATTTAAAAAGGTAAATACACATTTATTTTATTTTATCAGAATTCCTACTGTGATCAATAGTTCTCCTCCTTCAGCCTTATTGCTGAAGTTATTAACTCTTGTTCTTTTTTCTGCCATTTAACTTTTAGAGAGAGGAGAGGAAACGAGGACGAAGCAAGTCCAGACTGAGTCCAGACCAAGTCTAGACCAAGATCAGACAATGAGAAGAAAGGAGACAGCCTGAACTGTGAACTCGCTCACTGAAAAGGTAAATACACATTTATTTGATTTTATCAAGTTAGCATTAATAATATGCAACTTCCAGTTAGACTAGTGGTTTACCTCAGTTGAAGTCTCTTATCTGCCATTTGTCTTTTACAGAGAGGAGAGGAGACGAGGACAACACTAGTCCAGACTGAGTCCAGACCAAGATCCGACAAGAGAAAAGAGGAGACAGCCTGAACTGTGAACTCACTCACTGAAAAGGTAAATAAACATTTATTTATTATCAGAATTCCTACATTTATCAATAGATCTACTGTGTCCCTCATTGCTGAAGTTATTAACTGTTATTCTTTTTTCTGCCATTTGTCTTTTACAGAGAGGAGAGGAAACAAGGACGACACTAGTCCAGATCAAGTCAAGACCAAGAGCCGACAAGAGAAGAGAGGAGACAGCCTGAACTGTGAACTCCATCCATCCATCGTCAACCGCTTATCCTGTGTACAGTGTTGTGGTGGCAGCCCGGCTGACGGTGAGTGTCCTGGTTTTTTCTACTTTTTATCAGTTTTTCTGCTTTTTCCCTCGGTTTCCTGTTCTCTGCCCGCCTCTCTGTGTTTTCTCCCCCGTGTGCTCTCTCTCCCTCTGCTCCTGAGCCCAGCCAACTACCTGCACCTGCAACCCATCATCCACCTCGTCAGCCTGCCACACCTGCCAGTAATCAACCTCATCCCAGCCTGTATTTCAACCCCGGTTCTCCACACCATCCTTGCTTGATCGTCGTTGCTCCATACCTGGTACACTCACCCTCGTCCTCCGTTCGGCTGGGCTCACCCACTGGCCCACTCCTCTTTGGACTTCCCTCACGGCGTCCTCCCTGTTCCCCCGCCTCTCCACGCTTCCTCGGCCCCTGTGTTCCCCTGCTCTCTGGCCCCCTGTCTCCTTGGTTCCCCGTGCCTGTTCTTCCCCGACGTCCTCCTCTCCCTCCAGTCCCTCTCACCCCTTTTTCCTCCAATAAACCTCCTTCCTTCTGAGTGCTGCATTTGGGTCCTCTCTGTCCACACACCACACCCCGTAACAGAACGATCAAGCCAACTATGGACCCAGCAACCGCCCATCAGGAGGAAGCTAGTCAGCTATGCAAGGAGCTGTTGGAGTTGGAGGAGAAGTGGAGGGGCTCGACCCACACGGGCTACAAGCTGGCGCTTTTGACCTTTGGCCAGGTAAAGGTTTCTCAGAGGCCTTGGCTGAGAGACGCTGTCCCGGAGAGGCTGGCCAGATTTTTCCATCTCCCCGCCAGCCCTCGGTGGTCTCGTATCCAACCCGCTAGTTGCAGGCTGGGAAGCATTTCCCTGTGTAGCCAGACCTCAGCCGCCAGCCCCCAGCCTGCCCCCATGCCTGCCAGCGCCTCTAGCCCCCAGCCTGTTCCTCGGCCTGCTAGCGCCGCTGGCCCCCAGCCTGGCCCCGTCCCTCAGCCTGCTAGCGCCGCTGGCCCCCAGCCTGGCCCAGTCCCTCAGCCTGCTAGCGCCGCTGGCCCCCAGCCTGGCCCTGGTCCCCGGCCAGTTAGCCCCCAGCCTGGCCCTGATCCCCGGGCCGCTAGCCCTCCAGTGGCCAGCCCCCTGCCTGGCCGGCCCATCTGCCCGCGTGACCCCCCCAACAAAGACTCTGGGACTATGACTCTCCTGGCCTTCTTTGCTATGAAGGCCAGGGAGTCAGAAGAAGCACGGGCAGCCAGTCTGCGGCCTACTAGTGTGGAGGCTAGTTTCCCCCCCGGCTCCACGTCTGCTCCACCTCCAGTAAGGCCAGCTGGAGGGCGACGTGGACCCCGCCGTCGAGGAGCAAGGACGTCGGTGGTCCGACCAGCACCAGCTCCGTTGGTGGCCCAGCCGACTCTTCCTGTTCCTCGTGCTGCGTCGGTGGACCGACCGGCTTCAGCCCCGCCGGTGGTCCGGCCGACCCCTGCTCCTCGTGTTCTGTTGGCGGACGGACCGGCTTCAGCCCCGCCGGTCATCCGGCCGACCCCTGCTCCTCGTGTTCTGTTGGCGGACGCACCGGCTTCAGCCCCGCCGGTGGTCCGGCCGACCCCTGCTCCTCGTGTTCTGTTGGCGGACGGACCGGCTTCAGCCCCGCCGGTGGTCCGGCCGACCCCTGTTCCTCGCACCGAGGCCCTCAGCCCAGCAGCCTCATCCCTGACTCCCCCCGCTGCTGTCGCGCTGCCAGCCCCACGCCCGGCTCCCCGGCCTCAGGAGAGGTCGTCTCGCCCCCTAGCCCGTCCCTCGGGCCGCCCGCCCGAACTCTCTGGCCTGTCCCGCCTTGCTCCCCGACCTCTGGAGAGGCCGCCACGCCCGGCTCCCCGGCCGCCACGCCCGGCTCCCCGGCCTCAGGAGAGGTCGTCTCGCCCCCTAGCCCGTCCCTCGGGCCGCCCGCCCGAACTCTCTGGCTTGTCTCGCCTTGCTACCCGGCCTCTGGAGAGCCGCCACGCCCGGCTCCCCGGTCGCCACGCCCGGCTCCCCGGCCCCTGGTGAGGTCGCCACGCCCGGCTCCCTGCCCGGCTCCCCGGCCTCTGGAGAGGTCGTCTCGCCCCCTAGCCCAGCCCTCGGGCCGCCCGCCCGAACTCTCTGGCCTGTCCCGCCCGGCTCCCCGGCCTCAGGAGAGGTCGTCTCGCCCCCTAGCCCGTCCCTCGGGCCGCCCGCCCGAACTCTCTGGCTTGTCTCGCCTTGCTCCCCGGCCTCTGGAGAGGCCGCCACGCCCGGCTCCCCGGCCGCCACGCCCGGCTCCCCGGCCCCTGGTGAGGTCGCCACGCCCGGCTCCCTGCCCGGCTCCCCGGCCTCTGGAGAGGTCGTCTCGCCCCCTAGCCCAGCCCTCGGGCCGCCCTCCGGGCTCCCCTGGTCCGCCCTCGGGCTGCCCGCCGGACCCTCCTGGCTCCCCTGGTCTGCCCTCGGGCTCCCCTGTCCCGCCGGACCCTCCTGGCTTCCCTGGTCCGCCCTCGGGCCGCCCGCCGGACCCTCCTGGCTTCCCTGGTCCGCCCTCGGGCCGCCCGCCGGACCCTCCTGGCTTCCCTGGTCCGCCCTCGGGCTCCCCTGTCCCGCCGGACCCTCCTGGCTCCCCCTGTCCACCCTCGGGCTGCCCGTCGGACCCTCCTGGCTCCCCCGGTCTGCCCTCGGGCTCCCCTGTTCCGCCGGACCCTCCTGGCTCCCCTGGTCTGCCCTCGGGCTCCCCTGTTCCGCCGGACCCTCCTGGCTCCCCGGATCCGCCCTCTGGCTTCCCTGGTCCGCCCCCGGGCCGCCCGCCGGACCCTCCTGGCTTCCCTGGTCCGCCCCCGGGCCGCCCGCCGGACCCTCCTGGCTTCCCTGGTCCGCCCTCTGACTCCCCTGGTCCGCCCTCGGGCCACCCGCCGGACCATCCGGGCTCCCCTGGTCCGCCCTCGGGCCGCCCGCCGGACCCTCCTGGCTCCCCGGGTCCGCCCTCTGGCTTCCCTGGTCCGCCCTCTGGCTTCCCTGGTCCGCCCTCTGGCTTCCCTGGTCCGCCCTCGGGCCGCCGGCCAGCCTCTCATGGTCCGCCCTCGGGCTGCCCGCCGGTCCCTCCTGGCCCCCCTGGTCTGCCCTCGGCTCTCCTGTTCCACCGGACCCTCATGGCTCCCCTGTTCCGCCCTCGGCCTGCCCGCCGGATCTCCCTGGCTCTCCTGCTCTGCATTCAACCTGCCCCCCTGAACTTCCTGGCTCCCCCTGTCCGCCCTCAGGCTGCCCGTCGGACCAACCTGGCCCCCCTGAACCCCTTGGTCCCCCTGCTCCGCCCTCGGACGTCCGCCCGAACCCCTTGGTCCCCCTGCTCCGCCCTCGGGACGTCCGCCCGAACCCCTTGGTCCCCCTGCTCCGCCCTCGGGACGTCCGCCCGAACCCCTTGGTCCCCCTGTTCCGCCCTCGGGACGTCCGCCCGAACCCCTTGGTCCCTCTGTTCCGCCCTCGGGACGTCCGCCCGAACTCCCTGGTCCCCCAGCGCTACCCTCTGGCACCCTGTCTAGCCCTGAGCTTCCAGTTCTGCCCTGCCTGTTCCCCTAACTCTTCCCTGTCCTGAAGCCCTCCCTGTATTCCCAGTTTGGTTTTGGACCCTGGACCCCCATCAGCCGGACCCCAGTACGACATCTTCCCCCCCGTGTTCGCCTGCCGAACCCCCTGTCCTACAGGAAGGCCGCCGGGAGGCGTCCATTGAGGAGGGGGCCCTGTTGTGGTGGCAGCCCGGCTGACGGTGAGTGTCCTGGTTTTTTCTACTTTTTATCAGTTTTTCTGCTTTTTCCCTCGGTTTCCTGTTCTCTGCCCGCCTCTCTGTGTTTTCTCCCCCGTGTGCTCTCTCTCCCTCTGCTCCTGAGCCCAGCCAACTACCTGCACCTGCAACCCATCATCCACCTCGTCAGCCTGCCACACCTGCCAGTAATCAACCTCATCCCAGCCTGTATTTCAACCCCGGTTCTCCACACCATCCTTGCTTGATCGTCGTTGCTCCATACCTGGTACACTCACCCTCGTCCTCCGTTCGGCTGGGCTCACCCACTGGCCCACTCCTCTTTGGACTTCCCTCACGGCGTCCTCCCTGTTCCCCCGCCTCTCCACGCTTCCTCGGCCCTGTGTTCCCCTGCTCTCTGGCCCCCTGTCTCCTTGGTTCCCCGTGCCTGTTCTTCCCCGACGTCCTCCTCTCCCTCCAGTCCCTCTCACCCCTTTTTCCTCCAATAAACCTCCTTCCTTCTGAGTGCTGCATTTGGGTCCTCTCTGTCCACACACCACACCCCGTAACATACAGGGTCGCGGGGGCTGGAGCCAATCCCAGCTGACATCGGGCGAAAGGCGGGCACACCCTGAACAGGTCGCCAGTCCATCGCAGGAACTCGCTCATTTTAAAAGGTAAATGCACATTTATTTGATTTTATCAGAATTCCTACTGTGATCATTAGTTCTCCTCCTTCAGCCTTATTGCTGAAGTTATTAACTGTTATTCTTTTTCTGCCATTTGTATTTTAGAGAGAGGAGAGGAAACGAGGACGAAGTCCAGACCAAGTCTAGACCAAGATCCGACAAGAGAAGAGAGGAGACAGCCTGAACTGTGAACTCGCTCACTGAAAAGGTAAATAAACATTTATTTATTATCAGAATTCCTACATTTATCAATAGATCTACTGTGTCCCTCATTGCTGAAGTTATTAACTGTTATTCTTCTTATCTGCCATTTGTCTTTTACAGAGAGGAGAGGAAACAAGGACGACACTAGTCCAGACCAAGATCCGACAAGAGAAGAGAGGAGACAGCATGAACTGTGAACTCGCTCATTTTAAAAGGTAAATGCACATTTATTTTATTTTATCAGAATTCCTACTGTGATCAATAGTTCTCCTCCTTCAGCCTTATTGCTGAACTTATTAACTGTTATTCTTTTTTCTGCCATTTGTATTTTAGAGAGAGGAGAGGAAACGAGGACGAAGTCCAGACCAAGTCTAGACCAAGATCCGACAAGAGAAGAGAGGAGACAGCCTGAACTGTGAACTCACTCACTGAAAAGGTAAATAAACATTTATTTATTATCAGAATTCCTACATTTATCAATAGATCTACTGTGTCCCTCATTGCTGAAGTTATTAACTGTTATTCTTTTTTCTGCCATTTGTCTTTTACAGAGAGGAGAGGAAACAAGGACAACACTAGTCCAGATCAAGTCAAGACCAAGAGCCGACAAGAGAAGAGAGGAGACAGCCTGAACTGTGAACTCCATCCATCCATCGTCAACCGCTTATCCTGTGTACAGGGTCGGGGGCTGGAGCCAATCCCAGCTGACATCGGTGGCCAGTCCATCGCAGGAACTCGCTCATTTAAAAAGGTAAATACACATTTATTTTATTTTATCAGAATTCCTACTGTGATCAATAGTTCTCCTCCTTCAGCCTTATTGCTGAAGTTATTAACTCTTGTTCTTTTTTCTGCCATTTAACTTTTAGAGAGAGGAGAGGAAACGAGGACGAAGCAAGTCCAGACTGAGTCCAGACCAAGTCTAGACCAAGATCAGACAATGAGAAGAAAGGAGACAGCCTGAACTGTGAACTCGCTCACTGAAAAGGTACATACACATTTATTTGATTTTATCAAGTTAGCATTAATAATATGCAACTTCCAGTTGGACTAGTGGTTTACCTCAGTTGAAGTCTCTTATCTGCCATTTGTCTTTTACAGAGAGGAGAGGAGACGAGGACAACACTAGTCCAGACTGAGTCCAGACCAAGTTCCGACAAGAGAAAAGAGGAGACAGCCTGAACTGTGAACTCACTCACTGAAAAGGTAAATAAACATTTATTTGATGTTATTATCAGAATTCCTGCTGTGATCAATAGTTTGTTTTTGCTTGTGTAGGGCTACGCAGTCAAGTTAGTGTTAATGAATATGCAACTTCCAGTTAGACTAGTGGTTTACCTCAGTTGAAGTCTCTTATCTGCCATTTGTCTTTTACAGAGAGGAGAGGAGACGAGGACAACACTAGTCCAGACTGAGTCCAGACCAAGATCGACAAGAGAAGAGAGGAGACAGCCTGAACTGTGAACTCGCTCATTTTAAAGGGAAAATGCACATTTATTTGATGTTATCAGAATTCCTACTATGATCAATAGTTCTCCTCCTTCAGCCTTTTTGCTAAAGTTATTAACTGTTATTCTTTTTTCTGCATTTGTCTTTCACTGAGAGGAGAGGAAACGAGGACGACACTACTCCAGACTGAGTCCAGAGTGAGTCCAGACCAAGACCAGACGACATGAGACAAGGAGACCGCATAAATGAAAAGTATGTATTCATTCTTCTTCATTATAATAGTTGAAGTTATTAAGTGTTATTCCCTCTTATCTGCCCTCGTAATCTTTCCTCTCATCCTCCTTTCTAATAAATGTGCATTTATTTTATGTTCTCTTGATGTTTTCAGAATGAACACCAATACTTCATGTGTTCACCTTGTTGCTGAAGTCATTAAGTTTTATTCCCTCTTGTCTGTTTTTATGTAACTCAAGGGAGGACGAGCGAGACGTCTCCTCATCTGCAGCAGCATCACAGACAGTTTATTGTCTCGAACATCTTCCTGTCTGTCATCAAGAAGACCAAAATCAACACTGAATTTATTCTTCTGACATGTGGCTGTGTAGTCCCATGATGAACATCATTAATGTTTGTGTTCAACCTGCTTTTTGTCCTTAATAAATAAAACATATTCACTGGACAAGGTAAAGTGTGTGAATAGTACTTTAAGGGTCTTAATAAGGGATTTAGTGTCAAATGAATTAAAAATAGCACATCTGAGTGATGAAGTTGGTTTAAACAGTAAAGTCAGCATGAAAATCGTCGTGTTCTCCCACAGGTTACATCAATATAAATGATCAAAGGGCTGTGATAACTTACATTGTACTATTTTCTCAGTCAGTTCAAGGTTAATGATTTTTCTCAACATCAGGTCAAACACATAAATGAAGAACTGAATACTTGTATCATTCTTCTAAACATTTAAATAGTTTTTACCTCTATGAATAATATGACAAGAAATCAGACGTCAAGAGCTGTACAGAAATGGGCATGTGTTTACTTTATTTTACTGATGGTCATGTATTTTTAAACCTGCAGAACTGTGCTTGGTTTGAAAGGTTAGGTTATGGCGTAAAGGACAGGTTCTCTAGGTAGTCATTGGTCTGGATTTACCATGGCATTATACACTGCAAATCATATTCAGCGAATAACGTCTGATAGGCCTATATTTTGAATCCTTCCTATATTTCTGTCTTCAAAAATAAGAAAAACCTGCAGTTGTGGGATGAAAAACCCTCAGACCTAATAGGCCCTCACTTTGGATGTAACTGTAACTTAGACTTAGATGAATTGTGGTCCTTTGAAAATACATTGAATACAAAAATAAAAAATGTAGGTGAACGAAAATGTTGACATTTATTTAGCATTTATGTTATTTACTTGTTTCAGTGGAGCCTCCCGGCGTTATACGAAAGTCCCTAAAAAGACCTTAAAAGACTAAAATACACATTTAAGATAAATATAAAATTAGTAAAATACAATAAAATAAAAGGGATAAAATAAAGTCAAATAAGATCGGGAAAGGCTCTCCTATAAAAGTATGTTTTAAGAAGGGACTTAAAAGAGTTCACTGACTCAGCCGACCTGATTTCCTCGGGCAGGCTCTTCCAGAGCCTCGGGGCCCTGACAGCAAACGCTCTGTCCCCTTTAGTTTTCAGTCGAGACTCTGGAACAGACAGCAGACCTCTGCCCGAGGATCTCAAGGTACGTGCTGGTGTGTATGGGACTAAAAGTTCAGAAATATAACAAGGCGAGAGGCCATGAAGAGCTTTAAAAGTAATCAATAGAATTTTAAAGTCAATTCTAAAACATACTGGGAGCCAGTGTAATGAAGCTGAAATAGGAGTAATGTGGTCATATTTCTTTGTTCTGGTTAAAAGCCTGGCAGCTGAGTTCTGGACAGTCTGGAATCGATCAGTAGATTTTTGGGTTAAACAGGTGAAAAGGCTGTTGCAATAATCCAGGCGTGATGAGATGAAGGCGTGTAAAATGGTCTCGGTGTCCTTAAAAGTTAACATAGATCGAATTTTTGCTATATTTCTAAGTTGATAAAAACATGATTGAACAAGCTTTGTGGTGTGCTGCTCGAAATTTAAATTACTATCAAACCAAACACCAAGGTTCTTTGCCACAGGCTTAATGTGATTTACTAGGGAACCAGCAGATGGCAGTATTTGATTTGCCATCTGCTGGGACCCGATGACCAGGATTTCTGTTTTGTCTGAGTTCAGCTGGAGGAAATTATTTGACATCCATTTTTTAACTTCACAAAGGCAGTTGTTAAGTGAACTCAGCACTCCAGGGTCTGTGGATCAGACGGGCAAGTATATTTGTGTGTCATCAGCATAAATATGAAAAGAAATGCCATGTTTATGGATATATATCCAAGGGAAAGTAGATACAAGGAAAACAAAATGGGTCCTAAGACCGACCCCTGAGGCACACCATATTTAACTGGACAGAACGAGGAGACATAGTTGTTTACAGACACGCAAAACTTCCTATTTGACAGGTAGGATGAAAACCATTCTAGGGCCGTACCAGAGATCCCCACCCAGTGCCTCAGTCTGTCTAACATGATGTTGTGATCAATGGTGTCAAAAGCAGCGCTAAGGTCCAGGAGTACTAGGACTGAGCACATGCCTTCATCAGCAGACATTAAAAGGTCATTGGTGACTTTAAGCAGGGCAGTCTCAGTGCTGTGGTACTTCCTAAAACCAGACTGAAACTTTTCAAATAATTTGTTATTTTCCAGTACAGTGAGCAGCTGTTTGGACACAATTCTTTCTAGAATCTTTGCAATAAAAGGCAGTTTAGAAATTGGTCTAAATGTGGGAGGGAGGGATCTAAACCAGGTTTCTTTAAAAGTGGGTTCACGCAAGCCGTTTTAAAATAATCAGGGACACAACCAGTAGATAGGGAGCTGTTGAAAACAGAGATCAAATGGGGCCCAACAGAATCTATTACTTTCAGTAAAAACTTTGTAGGTATTACATCAAGTGGGCTGGAGGACACTCTCATTTGTGATACTGTTTTTAAAAGCTCAGACAAGTTGATGGGATAAAACTGGTTAAAACTCTGTTGTTGCTGGTGAGGAACCTCTGAGTAAGAGGCCGCGGGGGTAATAGAGGCTCTGATTGACACCACCTTATTGGTAAAATAAGATAAAAACAATTCACAGTCATCATTACTTCCAGCTGAGGCACAAGGAGGGGTTGGGTTTACCAGCTGATCCACAGTCTTAAACAGAAACCTGGGGTTGTGTTTATGTGTAGTAATGAGTTCAGAAAAATAGAAAAAAATAGTGTGTTCTCGCATCCTTAACCAAGTTATTGTATTTAATTAATAAATCCTTCAGACTGAGGTAATGGACTTGGAGACTGGATTTTTTCCATCTGCTCTCTGCTTTCCTGCATTCCCTTTTGAGGCTGCGAATGCTGTCATTTATCCAGGGTTGCTTACTAGCTTTAGACGTAGGCCTAACCTTTAGAGGAGCAGTAATATTTAGTGACGACAAGCAGATATGATTGAAGTGATCGACCAGATTGTTGGTGTTGGAATCAGACAGGTGTTGGCTTTGGCTCTGAAAGAATGTGCAAAACTTTGAAACACTTTGTTCATTAAAGAAGCGAGAACACACAGAGCTTGGTGAGGCAGCATGAGTAACATCGCAGCTAAAAACAATACATCTGTGGTCAGATATGGTCATGTCCACTAATTCCACAGAGGACATTACCCAGGGTAAAAACCAAGTCCAGTTTATGACCACGGTTATGTGTTTACCCTTTGACATGTTGTTTGAAGTTAAAAGAAGTGGCCGTATTTAAAAAGTCAGTTGCATTAACATTGGTGGGGTCATCAACATGAATATTAAAATCGCCACAAAGAACAATTCTGTCATAATTTAAAACCAGAGTAGATAAAAATTCAGGAAGTTCTGATAAAAATCCTCCAGGCGGTTTTGGGGGCTGATAAATTATAACAAATATGATAGGTTGCAGCCCTCCAAGTTTAAGAGTGAGAACTTCAAAGGAGATTATAATTATAGAAATATCATTTCACAGTTTTAATAGCTTTATTGTTTTGCGATGAGGTAATCATTCCAAGATATAACTTTTAATTTCTGGACTCCCTCATGGAGGCGACACTTGTGCTGCTCAGAGGACGGTTCCTCAGGTTGGTCATGATCATCTGAAGAACGCGTCCTGGCCGAGGCAGAGAAGCTGAATGGAAAGAAAATTAAAACATCACTCACGTTAGTCAGGATGACTAATTAAAGCCCAGATAAAGAAGTCAAAATTGCATTTATGACTTCAAGTTCACATCGTTTTACACAGAAGATCAGAAAGACTCACAGCAGGACTTACTGTGAAAAACCTTATTTATTAAAAACGTTTTCAAAAGTCCTGAGTTTTGGCCAACCGGCGGTGCCCGTGGCGTGGAATATCAATGATTCGCCACGAAACAGGAATTTGTTATAACTTAAGTGTACATGCACACATCTCTACTAAATAGAGACCCTAAGTCACTCGCTTCCGGTAGTCAGTGGCGGGAGACAACTTATTTTTTGATCCTGTATGAACTGTGCCCTGATTTACACATATGATGTTTGTCAAGTTAAAAGATAACTTTGTCCGTCAAGAAAGTTGCAGTTTGTTGTAAAACAGTAAAGTTACATGTAGTTTTGTATGAACTACATCTCTCATCTCGCTCAATTTACGTCTCTAACATGTTAGCGCAGTAATGCTAGCTAGCTTTTGTCAAGTTTGACAAGAGCCCTGAACACATTTACAAGCTCATATTCACTCATGGTCATAGCGCCACCTATTGGCAATAGGGAGCGCTATGATGAACCACATTTTTTAGGTTGGCCATCTCTACTTCAAAAAAAGAAAGAAAAGTAACACATTGATAGTGTTATGTTGCAAAGCTTCTGAGTTTTCCTACAACGGTGTATGCTTGGTGTGGCAGCAATGTACCATGCTGCGCCATGAAACAGGAAGTTGTTATAACTTTGCTGCACATGCTCAAATCAGTAGCAAACTTTATGTGATTGATAATGGCAATGGTTGATTTTATATTAATATTTTTATGTGAAAACAATGAATGGGTTTCAGGGGGAGCAGAGACTCAATTTTCTTCCAACCTACTCAACTTTAAGAGCTAAATGCTCCGGCATATGTGCAGCTACAGACTGCATTTGAGCTTTAAGCTGCAGAAAAGATGTTGATCTTTCAAAGTTGCATTTAGTGTTTGCTAAAAATATGTTTAGTTTAGGTCTCTGTTCACTATTACAATCATTAAAACGCAGAACAGTAGGGCGATATAACATTAAATTCAGTAGGGCAATGTTGCATACGAGTCAATGGCGCGCAGCCGTGAAAGTGTCGGACCTTGGCCAGCTGCGTATTCGAGGTGTGGCTGGGCAAAGGGTCAATTGTAAGTCACAGTCGTGTCTCATTGACTCCTGTTGTAAATGCAAGCTGAGTTCTCCCCTCTGTCACAAACTCTTCAATCATCCTTCCTGTTTGTGTGGACACATGACGTATATTTTTATCTCAGCTACTCAAGCTAAACTAACTAAAAACACCAAAACGATAGCTGAAAAGCTTTTTTTAAGCAAATGCATGTTTCTACCAACAA